CCTTCGTGTCCTTGGCTGCGCCCTTGCCCTTCCCAGATTTGGGTGCCATGGCGGCTGGGGAGGGGGCGAGGGATCAGGGGCGGTGGGGGGAGCGGCGGCGGCGAGCAGGAGCTTGAGGAAGAAGAAGAAAATGGGGACGGCAGTGCCAAGATGGGGGAAAGCACAAGAGGTAAATGAGCTGCGCGCCTGCGGTTATTCCTTTTTATGGGGAAGACACGGGCCTCCTCTTTTCCATTTATTGCGACATGACGCGTGCCTGTAGCAACTGCCCAACGCATGCCCCCCACGTCACACACGATCCCCACGTCACGTATTCAACGCGGATCGTGGGGAAGCACAGTGGACGAAAAGTTACCGCAGTAAAAACCGCCCCGCCTGCCCGCGCACCATTTTTGGGCCTGGCCCAACAACACGTTGCACTTATGTGTGACCCAGGCCCGGGGGCTCCTGTCGGTGTACCAAAGTAGGGGCGCTCTTTTGTACCCCTTATTTGTGCACGGGCAGTCAGAGTTGCGCCCACGGCCACACTTAAGCAGTGCAGAGCCAGGAAATCAAGGACACAAGACAGCCAAAGCAACACTGAGACAGAGACGCAAAGAACAAGAGGGCGAGGTGGACTCCCCCGGCAAGACCCTTGCCGGGGCGGCCTCCACGGTCCCGGCAAGGACCTTGCCAGGGCAGCTTACCCGACGCCAGCAGAGCGTGCCATCCTCGAGCCCCAGTTTTTCAAACACCACCAACCATGTTGGGACCTGGGCTCGGGAGGCGCCTCCATGGTGGCATGCAGATCTTTGTGAAGACAAGAAACACTCCAAATCAGAGGAGGAATAGAAGACGACGAACCTCGGTGAGATTCTTGCCGAGGAAACCCACAAAAGCCCCTGCAAGATCCTTGCCGGGGACGATCGCGGTGTCTCGCAAGACCCTTGCCGGGGCCCCCGGCAAGGCCCTTGCCGAGGAGCCCGTGAGGCCACAGCCGGGTCCGCATCCGCCAAGCTTTTACCACCGCTCCCGTGCAGCTGCCAGCCCACTAGCTGGGCAGGCGCCTGCGTGTCGATGTGAGGCTCCTCGGCCAACTTAGGGCATGCCTACGTGGTGGCATGCAAACCTTCATGAAGGCCCTGCCACCGCACCACCTCAGCAGCCTGCCAGCCTACATGGCGCTGACCGCCTCGCTGGCTCGGGCGCGTGTCGAGGCAGGGCGAAGCGGTGATAAAGCAAAGGGGACACGTCAGGGGCGCATTAAATGGTCTTGCCCCGTAATGGCTAGCGATAGGCTTAACCACAGTACCCCGATGCCACCTCCTGTATGCCACTGTGGCGATCCCCTTGCCTATAAAAGGAGGCCCAAGGCATTCAGGAGATGGATTCGGACCCTTGGATAAGTTAAGCTCGTTGTATCTAGCTCAAGAACTCCAAGAACACAGATATAAACATCAAAGGAGGACTAGGGTATTACGCATCGTTGCGGCCCGAACCTGGGTAAACGACCTGCGTGCTTGTGCTTGTCATTAGTCCAGCTCTCCTCATTACCCCGCGCCCCGCAACCGCAGTAGGGATTCCTGTGATCCCATAGGTGTCGTTCCCACCGGCAGGTATCGGCAAAAGTTGTGCGGCACAAGAGAGGCTAGCAATGGTGGAAGGGTGAGAGTGTGTATAATCCATGGACTCAACATTAGTCATAAAGAACTCACATACTTATTTCAAAAATCTACAAATCATCAAAACAAAGTACTACATGCATGCTCCTAGGGGAAGGGTTGGTAGGAGTTATCCATCACGCGATCCCGACCTCCACACATAAGGAAGACAATCAATAAATAAATCATGCTCCAACTTCATCACATAACGGTTCACCATACGTGCATGCAACGGGAATCACAAACTTTAACACAAGTATCTCTCAAATTCACAATTACACCACTAGCATGACTCTACTATCACCATCTTCATATCTCAAAACAATCGTAAAGAATCAAACTTCTCATAGTATTCAGTACACTTTATATGAAAAAAAATCTTATATCCCTCTTGGGTGCCTATCTTTTTCGGACTAAATTCATAACCAAATCTTGTTCACAAATGAAGCGACACTAGTTTACCTGGATCTTTCGAATAACTCATTAGTTGGATCAGTATACCCCATTTGGCGAAACCAAACGGATCTTCGAGTGTTGAACATAGCTCTAAACCGTATTGAAGGACAGCTGCTTGCCAATATAGGTTCAATATTTCCCGAGCTGATGATTCTCAATGTTTCTCATAATAATATATCTGGAGTTGTGCCATCTTCATTGTGCAACATTGGCAGCATTGAATTTATGGACCTGTCAAATAATAAATTTACAGGAGAGGTACCATCTTGCTTGTTCACTGATTGTTCTGCTTTGTATGTATTGAAGCTTTCAAACAATAACCTTGGGGTGTGATACTTGATGGGGCTAGTAACTTGTGTGCGGCAGAAATATACCTAGACAACAACAAATTTGAAGGGACTCTACCTAGAAATCTGTCTGGTAATGTCCAAATCATGGATTTACATGATAACAATATGTCAGGAGCACTGGACATTTCATTATGGAATCTTCCTTCACTGGAAGCTTTGAGCCTAGCTAGAAATAGTTTAACAGGTGACATTCATCCAGAAATTTGTAAATTAACAAGTATTTGGATGTTAGATCTATCGGATAACTATTTTCTAGGGCTTATACCACACTGCAGCAGTACATTACCACTCCAGTTTCTAAGTATATCTGGGAATTCACTATCAGGCTCTCCAAATGCATTTTTCAACACAGCTCCTTCATTACAGCTTTGGATCTCAGCCGGAATCAGTTCGCAGGCAACCTTGAGTGGACACGATATCTTTCTGAAATCAGGCTACTGTTGTTAGGCAGAAATAAGTTTGAGGGACAGATCCCATCAAATCTCTGTTGTCTCCAATACTTGAGTATAATTGACATCTCTGGTAACAAACTCCCGGGCTCTGTACCATGGTGTATTGGTGGCATCCCATTTGAAGACCCTGAACTTGAAGCTTATCCATTTTATTGGCCCAGAACCTCCATTTACTTTTTTGGAGGGGGGTTTGGTGTGTTCTATGATACGGAATTCTCATATAACAGTGATTATGAACTCCAAGGCTTCACCTTCTCCACTAAAGGGAACCCATACACATACGGACACAACTTCTTCATGTCGATGTCTGGCATTGACTTGTCTGCAAACATGCTGTCAGGAGAGATTCCGATTGAGATGGGGAATTTGAGCCACATCAAGTCTCTCAACTTGTCGAACAATTTCTTTACTGGCTCTATCCCTGCAACCTTCGCAAACTTGAGCGAGATTGAAAGCTTAGACCTATCAGAAAATAGGTTGAGTGGATCAGTGCCATGGCAGTTAACTCGGCTGTCATCCCTAGCGGTGTTTTCTGTGGCATACAACAATTTATCGGGGTGTCTACCAGCCAGCGGTCAGTTCAGCACATTCGATATGGACAATTACAAAGGGAACAACAACCTTAGATCATGCACTTCAACTTCAGGTCCCATGGCACCAAATGGTGTTGCAGGAAGTGTGGCTGATGATTCTGACCCGATCCTTTACGTGGTCAGTGCCGTTTCATTCGTCATGGCATTTTGGGCAACTGCCGCATTCGTATTTTGCCATGCACTTGGACGGCGTGTTGTACTCAAACTGTAATAGGTAAAGAGACGGAGGGCTAGCGAATACCGGTGAATAGTGACGATTTACACAACAGAAATTTTTGTAAACTGTGCTTTAGTAATCTGCTTTCCGGTTCTGTTGTAAACTATGCTATCATTTGTTGCTTTATAGAAGCTTTGTCTCAGCAGAAATATTTCCAATCTGTTCTTAATCTGTTCTTGTGTATGAATGTGAGTAAGCCTGTTGAAAATATGAACTTGAAAAGAGACTGGGGTGCTTAGGAGGTAAGAAGATGCTGCCATCTGGGGTAGAATGGTGCTTAAGGGTGTGTTTGGTACCATTCTCAACCTAGTATGGTTGTTCTCCCCTTATACATGTTGAACATGCATTTGTTGTTGTTTGGTAGCGGTGTTGAGACATGTTGAGCTGACACTTTGTTTGGTAGCCTGTATCTGTTTAAACATGCTGAACAATTTTGAATTCCCAAAAAAAAATTGAATGGTGAACAAAATTTTAAAAATGTGTACAAAATTTGAAAAAGTGAACAAAACTTTGAATATTTTTCTAATTTTAATTATTTTGGAATTATGAACATTTTCTGAAACTTTAAATAAATTTTGAGAAATTCTGATTTTTTTATTTTTTGAAAATCTGAACATTTTCTAAAAAATTTAAAAAATGAATATTTTGTGGAAATTTATTCAAAATTTGAAATGATGAACATTTTTAGTTTTTTTTGGAAATTATCTGAATATCTTTTGATGTTTTTGAAAATGTTAACAAGTTTTGAAAAATTTGAACATTTTCTGAAATTCTGAACATTTTTTATAATTTAAAAAAATTGAATTTCTGAACATATTTTGAAACACATCGTCACTCGCATCACTCGTGCATGCAGACCAGCGAACGGCTACTGATGTGCTCTCTCTTCATTCATGCATGCTACAAGGGTATCTGTGCAGACTACCAATCAACCAAAAGTGGGTTCAGTAGCACGAAATTTACCCTCATGCACCCTACCAAACACATCCTAATTATCACTGGTGGGGATGTGAGATGGTTGGATTTCTTGAGAGCCCATGATTTCCTTTTGCAAGATATACCATCTAATGAGATGGAAGGAAGTGTGTCTTCGTGAATAGCAGGGCAGTCTATGGTTTAAAGCTCTTTTAACACTGAACTTTTTTTGGCAAACTTGGCACTGTAAAAGTACAATCTCAGTTTGAGGACGACTCCCAAGGTTGGTGAATCATGACTTTTTTTGGCTGGGAATCATCAGAGCTGTAGGCGTGGAATGGTGCACAGTTCATATTATGGAGAACGATCGATATCCTCGGTGCTTTACATTTTTCTCACTCGTGAAACTTTTGAGACGTAACATGATAAACTTTTGAGAGTGTTTATTTTCCTTCGTTAGTCGGTTGAACGTACAATGCCATTAATCTTTCTGCCGGCGTCGAGGAAGAAGGCCGCCAGGGCAGCCCACTCCGCCAGCAGCTTCTCCTCGCCTCCGTCCCTGCACAACGGCGGGAAGAAGAGCCAGAACGACGTGCGGGCGACGAACACCACCACAATCACCGTCGCCACGGCCCGCGACGGCGACGGCCACCCCCTCGCCGCCCACCGCCGGGCGCACCACCCCTCGGCGACGCAGCAGACGCCATGGAGCAGGAAGAAGGCGGTCATCCGGCCGTCCGGCCGCCGGAAGCTGAGGTAGTACACCATGCCCTCGTGCATCAGCCCGGACACCAGGAAGGTGGCCAGCACGCCGGCGGGGCTCCCGGCGCGCGCAAGCACGGGGATGTACACCGACGGCCGGAGGATGGCCGACACCATGAGGTTCCACCGGCGGCCCCAGAAGTCCCGCAGCGAGGAGGCCAGGTAGGGGCGGTCGAACTGCGGCTCCGTCTCCATGCCGAGCGCGCCGGCGGCCGCCGCGATGCAGGGGAAGAAGAGGTCCAGGAAGCAGTATATGTGGACGCCGTACAGCGTCCGGCGCGCGTAGGGGTGCAGCCGAGCGTTGTACTGGTAGATGCCGAGGATGGCGGCTATGGCGGCGACCTTGGCCGCGCAAGAGACGAGCGACGGCAGCGGCTTGGCTTTGGATGCTCCCGCACCGGAGGGGCGGAGCTTGACGGGGAGCAGCGTGGTGAAGAGGAACGGCAGCACGGGGAGCGCGGGGTCGAGCGGCCCGCGGCCGGCGGCGAGGAGGGCGAGCTTGAACGTGCAGAGCCAGGTCAGGAAGAAGGCGGCGGTGCCCCGGACGATGGCGGAGGAAGTGAGGGCCAGGGGAGCGGCGGCGAGGAATGGGAAGAGCGGGAGCAGCGAGACGAGGCGCGGGAGGCCGGGGCGGAGGAGCGACGAGGCCATGCGCGCGTACAGCGCGGCGGCCGCGGCGGCCAGGGACACCATGGGGATGCTGTCCCGCAGGAGCTCCATGGCCGTCGCCGCTTGCCGCGCGCCACCGGCACGGCACGGCCGCTGTCTGCCTGTCGCTCTCGCACGGGAGGAATGGATCTGGCAATAATGTTGAGTGGCACGACCGCTGTGGCGGACTGGAGCTGTCAGTGTATTTTAACCACAGTGTCGTGCCCACATGAGGTTGTGATAAGCTAATAAATTGTGGATGGACAACTTGACAAGATGGGCACACACTTATCAAAAAATGCTCCACAGAATCATTTTGTGAAGTTTACGAAATATCAAGATATCACATCATACATGGGAAACATAGAGAATGGACAGAAAATTATCCTTATCAAAAAATAGTATAATCACTCGCGAGGTGCGTGCGAAAAGGTAAGAGCATTCGCAACTCAACCATCAAAGCCATCATTTTTGTCCTGGCGAAAAGGCTGAACATTGCTCGGACAAAAGATAATAATCATGTCTTCCAAACACAACTTACTTATCCGGTTTAGCACCTCGCAAACCCCAACCCATACGCGAGACGGATGATGCGTCCGCTATGTCGGACCTGGCAAGCCAAAGCCACTCAAAATTGCCCAAATCGACAGCCTCCCTCACCGCATAAGCCCTCCTCCTCTGTCCTAGCCATCGACGTCCGCTCACCGCCATGGACCCTGGTTGCAGAGTTAATGAGGGCCCTTGCCATTGTGGCAGTGAAAATGAAGAGTGTTCACTACTAGGGATCCACCCTCGATGCACCTTCGCATGCGACTGAAGCGGTGGCGCTGGGTACTTTTCTTTGCATCCAGATCCCTCGACTCTCTTCTTCTCTTCTATCCAAGCCCCTGACCTTGAGTACTATATTTCTCATGTTTATTATACTTTTCCACTTCAGTGACTCTTTTTGGCTGATGCATGTTTCACGTACTCCCTCCGTCCAAAAAAACTTGTCCCTCAAATGTATGTATCTAGCATCAAGTTAGTGCTAGGTACATTCATTTGAGGAACAAGTTTAGGACAAGCTTTTTCGGACGGAGGGAGTATATTCGTGTGTCTATGTTTCTTTTCTCGATCGAGACAGTTCAGCCATGTAGTGTGCTAACCTTTTTTTTTTTGAACATTTATGTACTTGTGCTGACTCCCTATTTCTTTTCACGTCTACTCCGCCTATGTGGCCGCCGAAGGCCACCATACCGGAGACTCTCTGGGCCACCACCTTCATTGAGTAAAGGACCATACATGTTGAGCCATATCATCATGACAAACAGCATGAATAAAATTGTATGCTCGATGTGTCACGGCCTGGGAATTTTGAATTGAGAAGCGCAACAAGCCGGTCAACATGAAAACAAAATTTAGTAGATGAAGTACATTTAGATCATGAAGGTGAGCATGAAATTTGTTTAGCTAATCTCCTGCAAAAGAAAAAAGTTTGTTTAGCTAAGGTGGTAGACAAATAACCGGTGTCCGCCCGCTACCTTTAGTCGCCATCACATCACTGCTGGTCGCCTTATGATATACGTATGTTAGTGTGCACGGCAACGCAACCTAAGTACCTAACCAACACACTTTTGTATTTCGTGTGCCAAGGCACATATGTATGCACCACTGCAAGAGACCAACATAAAATGTAGCTCGTTACCATTCCTACTCTACTACGTGGTGCACCAGCAGCATGTATGCATGCGTTCGTCGCCGGCCGACACCACCGAAAGACATGTTCCCGCGCTCCACCACGAGCAGCATATAAACACACGAATCTACAGAGATCGACCCATCGATCGACATGGCTTTCTCCCCTGGCACATGGCCGGTGATCACTACTACAATCTTGCTGGCATGGGCGGCGGCGGCGAGCGGCCGCGGCATCAACGTGGGTGACATGCTGATGATGGACAGGTTCCTCCGGTGGCAGGCCGCGCACAACCGGTCGTACCCGAGCATGGGGGGAAGGCTGCGGCGCTTCCAGGTGTACCGCGGCAACGTGGAGTACATCGACGCCACCAACCGCCGCGGCAACCTCACCTACCAGCTCCGCGAGAACCAGTTCGCCGACCTCACCCGGGAGGAGTTCCTCGCCAAGTTCACATCTTACGACGGTGACTATCGCACCGAGGATGATAATGCAGTCATCACAACGGCCCAGGGCGCCAACGCCAACATGTGGTCGTCTGGCGGTGTCGATGTCTTCTTGAATCCGGCCAGCGTGGACTGGAGGGCCAAAGGAGCCGTGGTGCCGCCCAAGGCGCAAACCTCATCGTGTTGTAAGTGAACATCATCCATTTTCAACCTGATCAAGTGTTGACGTATAATGTCCTGCCTAGTCTCTTCCATCAGATTGGTTTTTTGGTTGCATTGGTTAGAGCATGCACTTCTACATGGTATCGGAGCCAATCTCTTCCATCAGATCGGTCTTTCGATTGCATTGGCTAGAGCATGCACTTCTACATCAAGTACTCCCCTGTCCCATATTATGTCAAAAACCTTTTATAATATGGGCCGGATGGAGTAATAAGGAGGTTTGACTAACTTTGTTTGATGCATGCGTGGATGGACAGATGTAGTCAGCAGCTGGGCGTTCGTGGCAGTGGCGACGATCGAGAGCCTCCACTCAATCAACACGGGGAAGTTGGTGCCCCTATCGGAGCAGCAGCTGGTGGACTGCGACCAGTACAACGGCGGCTGCAACCGGGGCTCCTTCCGCAGGGCCTTCCACTGGGTGCACCAGAACGGCGGCCTCACCACGGAGGCGGAGTACCCATACACAGCGGCGCAGGGGACCTGCGACACCGCCAAGTCCGACCACCACGTCGCCGCCATCACCGGCCACGCCTCGGTCCCAGGCTCGAATGAGCTTGCCATGAAGCACGCCGTTGCCAAGCAGCCCGTCGCCGCGGCCATCGAGCTCGGCAACGACATACAGTTCTACAAGAGCGGCATCTACTCTGGACCCTGCGGGACGCGACTCCAGCATGCCGTCACCGTCGTCGGCTACGACGCCGATGAATCCACGGGTGAAAAGTTCTGGATCGTCAAAAACTCGTGGGGACAGACGTGGGGTGAGCACGGCTACATCCGTATGCAGCGCAAAATCCTCGGGCCCGGGGCTCTGTGGCATGATGCTCGACGTTGCTTACCCGACCATGTCAATGTGAGCTATACTGCATCAAGCGTCATTGATCTACTTCACCGTGTATGTATCAATTGTAATTTCACTGGAAGACTACATACATACTATATGAGGCATGTGCACGTTAAACATATGGAGTCTGAACCACTTGTTTTGCATGGGACGGCTGAGACAAGTTGACTGACCCAAATAGAATTTTCAGTCCAACTTATCCCAAGCCAATACCTTCCTCACCGTTCTCCTTGGGTAAGGGTACTTGCTTGGAGGAGGGTGTCTCATAGGCTCATCTGCTCCTGAGAGTTAAGGATGAGAACATTATTTCAGGTTTTTAGCAGTTAGGCGATATATCCTCCTTTCAATTATGGAGTCACTTTTTTTTTGCGTGGAACTATGGAGTCACTTGACCGAATTGTATTCCACAATCAAAGCTATCAAACTAGGTCTACCTATATAAGGGCCAAACGAAACCCCTACAAAGGGGCAGGTTGACGCGGGGGCAAATACCTGTAACTAGAACAGCCCATAGATGGAATGGCGGTGGCTGATCAGCCGAACGACGACAACACTGTCCTAGCCAAGCTGGGCCCCATCGTGGCCATGCCATGACGGACAAAATTTGGTGTTTTGACCCTTTGACCGAAGTTTAGCCGGATCTGACCCTCATCCAAAAATATTTCGGGATCTGATCCTTTTGGCTATCGTCATAGTCTCCGGCGATAGGATAACACTACCTAACGCCGCAGTCAATGACGGTAGGACTTACCTGCACCGTTACGGTCGATTAATGTGGAACTCTGACGGTAGGCGTGCATGCACCTACAACACAAAAGTAGAGTGGATAATAAACAATGATGTGTGCTGGACACTGTTTTGCTTGTACACAGTATACAAAGTGGAGTGTGTGGAGCAGCAGCATGAAGCTTTTCTCACTCTCCCTCCTCCTACATGCTCACGGACAAAGTGGCTACTGGTGCTAGCCCAAGAAACCAGTCAAAAGCAAGAGATGCTCCAGAATAGACCGTAGTATTGTAGGTAGACCCTCACCCGCAGCCACTACAGACTTCACGGATGCATGTATGCAGCTAGTAAATTCGGGATGCATGTGTGTGCCACTGTGTGTGATTTGATATCCATACATGCATGCATGCATGCATAATTCTATTAAGAATAGTATCACTATAGGCCCTGCTATGGCCAGATCTTTAGAGCCTAGTAATTTTACTTTTGCAGTAATGCATGCATGTAGTACGACCCTGCTACCAAACACAATATATCAAATCGCACCTGTGGCAGGCATGACTAGCGCTAGGCGTGTTGCACAGCGTACCGCCAGACTCTTTGGCGGTAGGGTTGCACAGCCTATCGCCAAGGTACCCTACCGTCGTCAACCTCGGCGGTAGAAATTGGGCCAGATCTCGAAATTTTTTAAGACATGGGTCAAATTCGACTTAAGTTTCGTAAAAGGATCAAAACACGAAAATTAATTGCCATGGCGGCTCGGGACGACTAGTGGGTGGCTCCAGGATGTGAGGAGGCGGGGAGACATCGGGCAGTGTCAATGCCTCGCTGACACTGAGGTAGCACGGGTGAGGGATTGTGTAATCTCAGGCAACACGGCGACAGGGTTGGGTAGGCGCCAGAGCCAAATGGACCCTTGCTAATCGCCCAAACGGTTATAACACACAAGGTGCTCGGACGAATATACAAAGAGGGGACAAATATGTGCGCACGCTGATGGGTGGGCCGTACGCCCAGTTTAACTACCCGGTGAAATGATTTATATTATTTTCGGGATGTGTCTAAGTTTCAGCCGATTGAGACTTAATTAAGACTAAGTCAAGTAACACTCTTAGTGCATTGCCGGGGTCTCAGAGCTCATAGATAACACTCTTAGTGCACA